TTGAGTAAGTGACAAAAACTAGCTTCTCTATATGGAGTGCTTAATGAAGACAATGGCTATGAAGTATTAAATAAAGTGGCAGTGAAATCATGTGCGGGGGAATTCTTCTAAAATGAGAAACAATTTAGTATGATTGAATGTTCTGCAACAGCGACTGGCAGGCTTTTCCTATGGGATTTGGAAGCCAAAGGGTCTCTGCCGCTGGGGTGACACAAGCCACGGCCAACATATAAACAGACAGGGCTGTGCTCCATACAATATGGAAACATATATAGATACATGGGCCTGTCCATCTCCCATGGCTCACTAACTCCTGCATTAGGTACTTAAACAGGACTGGACTGAATGGCTTCATTTAATTCTTACAATGCATATCTAAGGTGGGCAGTCTCACTCCATTGTGCAGTGTGTGTGTGTGTGTGTGTGTGTGTGTGTGTGTGTGTGTGTGCGCGCGCAGCGCGCGCTTGCGTGCGTAGGAAGGAGCCCACAGAGGCCACAAGAGGATGCTCGATCCCTGGAGCTAGAGGCCCAAGGTGCTCTGAGCTGCCTGAGGTGGTTGACTAGAACTGAACTTTGTCCTCTGCAAAAGCAGTGAGCACTCTTAATTGCTGAGCACCTCTGCAGCACCAGGCGTGGCTTATTGTCAAGAGACAGAGGAGAGGCTAGAGAGATGGCTCAGCCACTTGGAGCCCTTGGTGCTATCCAGAGGACCTGGATCTGGTTCTCAGAACCCACCACTAGCAGCCTACAACCTCTTGTAACTCCAGAATCAGAGGTCTGACTCCCATTTCTGGCCTCCCTGGGCACATGCACACACACATACAGAAGTAATAATGAAAATGTTCATCATGGAAACCTAAAGCTGATGGATAAAGGAAAAAAAAACCGTGAAGGCAGGTGGGAATACTGTTCTAAAAACATGAATGCTTTAGCTCTTTTGGTTTCCAGACAGGGTCTCACTTAGCCCCAGCTGACCTTGAACTTACTATGTAACTGAACTTCTGATTCTCCTGCCTCCACCTCTCATGAGCTGGGATGGCAGGTGTGCACAGCCATGCCAGGTTTTGTATTGTTTAGTTGCTCATTTGTCCTGGAAACCTTGCTTTGAGGACACCATAGTTCCCTTCTGGCATTTACTGCATTGAGGGCTCATTTCTTTCTCCTCATTTGGATGCTCTGGCAATCCAGGCTTCAGGCCTCAGCCCTCTGCTCTCTGTTCTCTAAGTTATGGTTTCTCATCCTGGGTCCTCATGCTCTTTTGGAATGGACAATTCTTCATTGCTGTGCACAGTGAATGGTCAGGATCATCCCCGCCTCTACACACTGGGTGCCAGGAACATCCTCCATCCCATAATCATGATACATATGGGCACGGCCAGAGTGCCCCAGGAACAAAATCGCCGGCCACTGAGAGCAGCTGTTGCAGGTCAATGCAACTAGACCCAGGGTTTCAAATACCCCCAAAAGGTGAGGGGACATACACGTACACCCCAACTTCAACCTTTCTCCAAGCTTGAAATCTATGTAGCCATATTTTTACATGGAGCTAGGATGAGCATTTGTTTATTTTATTCTTTCTCTCCTAGGCTGTCTGCATGCAGACAGGCACCTGCATATTCATCGAGAACAGTCCTGGACAGACAGTAGGAGTTCAAAATACATTTGCTAGTTAACCAGTTAAATGGTGTATATGAACTCATTTTGTGCAGTTCACCAATGATGGGCAATCAGGTCAACAGTTTTAAATTTAGCAAGGTACCTTGCAAGGACAAGTTCTCTTTGTCAGTGTTAGACTAGAAGACATGTTTGGCGAGTGTGGTAGCACACCTATAAGCCCAGTCCCAGTCAGCAGAGGTGGTAGAATTGCTGTGAGCTCAAGGCCAGATTGCACTGCATCCTAAGACCTCATAGCAAGTATAGAAAGAAACAAAGACGCTTCATTTTTAAGTAAGTGTGGATAGCCAGGATACTATCCACTGTACTTACTTAATTAAAATTTCATTACAGTCTATGACAAAAGACAGAACTAAGGTTGCTGTTCTTATGAATTATTATTTTTGCAGCGTTAAGGAGTAAACATATTAACATAATAGGGTTGGAAATATAGCTCAGTAGGAGACTCTTGCTTGCATGTGTTAGGCCCTAAGTTTACTGCGACTCCAGCCTCAGAAGGCAGAGATAGTTGATCCCTGGCTTGTTAATATGTTTGGTATTCAAATTATTACGATTCGTTTCAATTTTGAACTCAATAAAATGCGTATTTATTTATGCATGTAAACATGTATGTATTTGGACAATTATGAAGCCAGTTACTCATGAATTCATAACTACAAAAATTTCAATAGTGAATCTTATTGGCCTAGTTTATGCCGTTCTTTCTCTATTTTCATGTATGTACAAATGCATATGTACATACGGAGGCCAGAGTTTGATGTTAAGAATCATCTATGGCCATTCATTCTTCTAGACCTGTTCACTGAGCCAGGAACTCAATCAAATGCAGAGCTCACCGGTAAGCCAAGACCATGTGGTGATACACAGATTAATAGAAATGGGTAAATAATTAACAAAGAGCTAGCCAATAAGGAGCCCGAGCCATAGGCCAACCAATTTATAATTAATATAAGCCTCTGTGCGTTTATTTGTGATTAAATGTCTGTAGGACTGGGTGGGACAGAAACTTCAGTGTGTGTGTGTGTGTGTGTGTGTGTGTGTGTGTGTGTGTAAGACGTCAACACCAATTATCTTCCTCTGTCACTCTCTACCATATTTTTTGAGCCAGGATCTTTCACTGAACATGGTAGTTGCTCATTGGCTAGGCTGGCTGGCCAGCAAGTCTGGAAATCCTTCTGTCTGTCTCTCTAGCACTGCGATTACTGGCATGCACAGCCATGTCTAGCTTTTATAGGAATGCTAGGGATCAAACGCAGGTCCTTATGCCTACACAGCAAGCATAATATTGACTTAGCCATCTCCCCAGCCTGTGTCTAATTATTTACCACAAAAATTTTAAAAAGCTTCTAGAAAGGTATCCTTAAAAATATTGTACACAGGCAGTGTGGACCTGTGTGAGTTATTATTATTTTTGCAGTGTGAACTACATAGTGAGTTCTAAACCAATTAGAACTACACAATGAGGCCATGTCTCATAAAATTTTACATGAGCAATATGTGATCAAAAATAGAATGTTAATCTTAAAAGCCATAAAAGGTTTTATGCCTGACTTGTCACCACTTAGGAGATAAATTCCTTTTAGAAAAGAACTTAAAAGTGTTAGCTTGACTTTTATTTTTTCATTTAGCTAACTTTAAATGAAAGTTCCAAGGGGAAGGTTTGGACTTATTAAAACATGCAAGAGTCAAGGTCAGCTTTCTGGGGCAGTTCAGTGACAGCATTCAACTGCTGTGCTTAGAGCACCAGTTTAATTCCCAACTCCACAAAACTTCAAAAGCAAAACCAACCAACAACAAGAAAAAACTAGATTTAATATTTTATGAATTAATGAATCTTAGTAAGTTAAAAAACAAAAAATACACTCTCGTGAGTGTGGAAATGAAGATTTGTTCTCTTGATGGCTTATATGATGGGACACTGGAGGAATTAAAAAAAAACAGACTTTTTGTACACAAGTAGAAGAGTTCACGTAGCATAAAACCTCACTGACTCTAATAATAAAACTACAGAGAGCAGACCACAGTGACTGTCTTTCAGAAGTGGGGAAGAATGGCGTGCCCTAGCCATTGTCATGGGCAGAACTACTTGTTTGCTTGGCAGCTACCTGGTCCTGTGTTTCCTGCAGAGTGTGGGCAGGGTGACTTACCCACAGAGACAGGGATGCTGTCTTGGGCCAACCCCTCACATAGCCTGCTGTTCCAAGAAACAGGTACGATGACTCCTAACATTTGACCTGTTCATAGAATCTGACTTGGTTGACTTCCTGTGCAAAAGGCTAACAGGAAATCCTTTCAACATGGACACTTGAAGGTGTTTGAGTGAGACTGTGGGTGTTGATGACAAAATGGGGCAGGTGTGTGACTGATACAATTGGATCCCACGTGCGAGGCTCTGCTCCCCTAGCAAGTATGGCCAGAGGAGCTTGCTCATACATGGGAGTACACGCTCCTTTGAGAACAATAGGCGAAGGAGGCATGCTGTCTGTGGGCAGGGTTCTGAACATCAGGTTTCTCTGTACACAAACAGTCCACAGAGAACGGAGGGGGTGTGTGCTGATCTCAGTGTAGGCGCTGGAAGTGGGCTTGTGAGCTCTCCCACTCCTCCTTGATTTTTTTAATGAAACATTGATATTTGGTTCATCATAGGTCCTTTGCTTCTAAGAGTGGAAAATCCAGAATATCAGAGGCTCTGGTGAAACAGCTGTTGGAGATTGGAGGATGAAGCTCAAGTTAAAAACATCTTTTATTTTCTTAGGAGTTGTGATGCTTACTATTGACTATGAACATGACAGGATAAGAATCAGCTAGCAGACAAGATTCTGGGCTCGTCCGTGAGGGAGTTTCTAGATCGGATTAACTGGCTAATCCATGGGCTGGGATCCCAGACTGCATGAAAAGAAGGGGAGCTGAGTATGGGAAGTCATCGCTCTGTCTACATCCTGCCTGTGATGTAATGAGGCCAGCTGCCTTGAACTCCATCCCGTTGCCATGACTTCCCCCCTCTGATGGGACTGCCCATCAAGCTGTGAGCCAAAATAAATCCTTCCTTCTTTAAATTGTATTTGCCTCAGCCGTGAGAAAAATAAATAGAGGAATTTTACTTCTGAAATAACAGTTTCAGTTCTAATAAACGATTGTGGTGATACATACAGCGTGTGGATAGATGTTGGGTCATCTCTACCACCTGTAGTGTTTCAGATGTTAACATTCATCCACCAAGAGGATGGGATGATCCTAGGAGGCACAGATGTGCACACCTAGTATCTTATACACTTGGATGTTAGAGCATCTCAGTGAGGGGTAAATATCTGGTTCTTCTGAGCTACCTTCACGTTGAATGTAATTTCCTCCATGACGTACACACGTTCAGGAAATGCTTTGGCCACTTCCTCCACGCTGTTGAAATATTGCACTGGCTCCTTTATATCCCGGTCTTGTTCCAGCAGCTTGAACTGTCCTAAAACACATGAGAAGCAGAAGAGATGTAAGATGCTTATGCTGGACAGCTGTCACCGTGGTGACAACATCCTCTTGCTTTATGCCAGCTCTGCTCTGTTGTAGATCACTACTCATTATCATGTTAAAAAAGGATGATCACATCCAAAGGTTTGATCAAATTTAGAAAATCAGTGCGAAAAGGAAAACAGACTGAATTTTATCTTTTTCTTTTCACATTCAGGGGTTCTTATCAGGGCTCTAAAATGACTGTGAATGGATGTTTGTGTGTCATTAGACCTACAATGTAGTCTGCTATATACAGTAGCTCCATTTGTTTTTAGCAGTAAACTTTCCTGTCATTTAGTTTCAATAACCATTAATACTATTTTCTAAAACCAAGGCCCTGTGCCATGGCAGAATTCATCTTTTGAAGTTATAATTTAGAATAGAATAAAATCAGGGCTGCAGTGTAGCTCACACGAAAGGAGGAGTCACCCCAGATAAGGCCCAGGCAGCCCACCGTCTGCTACAGCTGGGGCAGCAGTGTGAGCTGAACATAGTTCCCTAACCTGAATCTAGCTTTCCATGCAACTCAGGTTGGAGAGAAGGTATCGGTTGAGGGCAAAGTTGAAAGAGGAGGTGCTGGAGGTTCAAAGAGAGAAGTGCCCGTTGGGGACTTAAGATGCAGTGTGACTGCTGAGCAACATTAAGTCATCATGGGGCTTTCTGGCCAAGAATGAAAAGTGAAGCCAGACAGCACAAGGCAAGGTCAGGGACACGGGCTGAAATGGGAAGAGATTTGATTTTGGCTCTGCCACTGCTGTGAAACTGACAGTGGGTAGGAGAAAGAGTGTGTGTGTGTGTGTGTGTGTGTGTGTGTGTGTGTGTGTGTGTTTGGACTCAGGATGTATACAAGGGAAGGCAGAGGGACAGGGAAGATGGAGTGGGATCAATGGCTCTGATGTGGATAAGTGTGGACTCTGGAGGGCATTAGTTCAAAAGCTATGAAGGAGACTGGCCTACTTAAAACACATCCCTTGGATGCTCTAGACAAGCTCAAAAATGACTTTCCAGGAGTCAGCCTAGCCAAGGGATAGATTAGATACATACTTGAAAGCATCTGAGATAGACAATCTATGCCATAGGATGGTGAGGCGACCAAAGCAGTTGTCCGTGGGAGTTAGAATGCATATTCATTTGCCGGTGATCTACAGAACATCTGACAGACGTCAGGAATCTGCCAATATTCCCAACTGCCTGCAATGGTGGTTTATATTTTATAATTTATTAGATGGATAAGAAATTACTGATTTAGAAGCAGAAGGTGATTCAAGCTATCTATCAGGAAACAGTTTCATGAAAATCTGCAAATTTCACCAGCTCAAGTCTATGATTAGAGTTTAATTTGTGATCAGTGTTTTGGGAAGCTTTTCCCAAGACAAGGTGGGACTTATATGCAACCCAAATACTCATTAAAGTGTCTAGCAGCTACTCAAACTGAGTTATATATATATATTTCTAGTAGCCATACTAGCAAAAAGGGCAAGTTTTATCAGCAGATTTGGTTTAAGTCAACAGACTTAGACTGAATAAAAATGTCACATACTTATTTCATACTCTTTTTGTACATGCATGTTAGAGAGAGAGAGAGAGAGAGAGAGAGTGTGGTGTCTTCTGTTACCATTCACCTTGCTTGACACACTGTGACCTGGGACTCACCAGGTAGCCAGCAAGCCCTTGTCTCTGCTTCCCAGCACTGGGGCTACAAGCATGCTCTATTTTATCCAGTCTTTTATGTGGGTTCTGGGATTATATTCAGGGCCTCTAAGCACTGCACCAACTGAGCCATCTCCCTAATGCTTGCATTAAATCTCTTAAATCCAATGTATGTTTTATATCTTGACAAAGCAGACTATTATCCGCTCACGAAATAGCAATGTTTATAATTAAGATTTCTTTCTTTCCTCCCTCCCTGCCTTCTCTCCCTCCTTGCCATTTTGTATAAGGGTTGTGTGTATGTGTTTCTGGGAATTAAACCCAGGGACTCCTGTATGCTGGACAAGTGCTCTTTGTGGAGGACTATCCTCATTCCTTTTTAATTCCTTATGGTTTTGGGAACTGAGTCTAGTGTGTGTGCATGCCAGGCATGAGCTCTTCTGCCAAGCCATATACCTAGCTCTTGGTTTCTTCATATAACTTCCTTCATCCATTTCTCTCTCAACACGGCTCTTGTTCTTCAGCATTCTTGAGTCAGTCTTCTATGGTGTCTGTGATTTTGTAAGACTAATCTTCTCCAGTGTAATTTAGCATTTAAGCAGCTCAGCGTTGATTCTGCTTGTCACCTCATTGTCCAGGAAGGCCAGAAATGCAGTTCTGAGACCCAACACCCACAGAGATGAGAGATAAGAAACAAATACAGCAGCAGCCAAATACTGCAGAGCTTTTAACCGCTGAACATCCTATACACCAGAAAAGGATTTTAGAGTGCTTTTCAGGCCATTATGTAATAGTCTGAATTTCATGTTTGTCTCTGTAAGTACTCTCCAGTGACAGGTTAACTCTAAATTACTAAAACCTTACATATGTCTTCTTTTCTTCTTCAGTGTTATTTTTGAGACAGGGGGTCTTGCTGTGTAGCCTAGGCTGGCCCTGCGATCCTTTTGCCTCAGTAGCTTGAGTGTTAGAATCAAATCTGCTCTTCAAGGGCTGAGTCATAGTATGCATGTGACTTCCTACTGCAGGGGTTGGCGCACTTTTTTTGTAAATATTTTAGGTTCTGTTAGCTAAGTGGCCTCTGGTGACACAGTGTAAAAGCAGCCACAGAAAATTTACAGTGAATGGGAGCAGCTGGGATCCCTTCAGACTACACTTACAAAAGCAGATGGCAGGGTCAGAGGTGGCCCTGGGGTCTGCTGACGTCTGTCCTACTGGACAGAGCAGGAAGTACAGACCAGGAGATGTCATAAAACAAGACATCAGAACAAAAAAGAACAGTCTTCTTATTCTGCATTACTGACTAGTCATACTAAGGTCCCAGGAGATCTGAAACACTTCCTATGCTGCCAGAGCCCAGAATGGCAGTTTCCCTTTACATGGGTGTCTAAAGTCAACATCCATGAGCTGTCGGAGTGAACTTGTATTGGGATGATGACGTAAATAGCCAGCCACTGGCTGCCTCCACCTTCTGCCTGTGCTTTACAAGACCAGAGTTCTGTAGTTTTTACTTGGCTCCTACTATTTTAAGAATTATATGATGGTGTCTGACTAGTTAGTCTGGCATACTCTAGGGAAGATGCTGGGCCATGTCATCGGTCTACATCCTTTGTGACTCTGGGAACTGAAAATTGGAACTTGTTAGAGCCCAACCTTGTAGACTGGATGAGTTAAGGGCCGGTCTCCTGCCAAAAGTAAAATCAATTTATACAACACATATTCCCACGACCCCCACACAGGAGAACTAATTCTCTAACAGACCATTTCATGAATAACACAGTCTTTTGTGCCACCAAATAAAAACATGTGGAGGCTGTGGAAACATCTGTTCTGAGATGTTACTGTCAAGCTCTGTTCTTGGAGATGGAGGAAGCTGCACAGTCTTTCAACAGCTTTGATGATCTCATAAAACGTCTCCATTGTGAGACCTGGTCCATCTGTGGTACCCTGAAACTCCCAGGAGCAATCCAACACCAAAGACATGCTCATTAATGAGAGTTTAAATGACTCCAAGGTGATGTTTAGAAACCAGGTTCATACTTTAGTCCACGTGTTAGTCCTAAAACTCTATTTCATAATTAACATGTTGACTAGGAGTATCATTTAAAAAAATACTCATTTTTAAAAAATGTCCCTCAAGGGAGACATACTGGATGAACTTCACAAGCTTGTTGTTTCATCTGTGTATATAAGCAGGTCAGGGCCTCTCTAGGACTGGAATAAAAAGCAGGACTGCCAGGCAGAAGACACACACCCATCATTGTCAACAGCAGCTACTAACCCTTTGCATGCATGTGCCTACTCCCACCAGTGGTGGGGGTTCATCCGCTTACATCCCTCACTGAATCCAAGAGCGTTTGACGCAGCCCAGCTACGTGCTAACGCCACTCTTCCTCAAACATCAAGGAGCCAATGAGCGGCATTCCTGGCAGACAGCTCATCGTGGCGCACAAACCTTCCTGTTCTTTGGAAGAGCTGCACAGAGTCTTACTCCACACACATGCCATCACTCATTCGAACAGCTTCCTCCAGGTGGGCGTCCAGACTTACTCTAGTCTTTTGCAGCCACAGTGAAGTCAGCCAGTGTTCTTGCACCGAAGGTTCTGCGTATTTAACCCAAGTACACTGGTGGGAATTGTCTACATGAGAGCTCGCCGGGCCAAAGGGCAAGCACATTTTAATCCATCACTTTGCCAAACAAAGTACAAATTTGTGCCCACTCACAGTTCTACCAATCTCAGGTTTTCCTTAACGGTTTACTGGAAAGCCTTTAAAAATCATTGTTAATCAAGTCTCTCGCTGCGATTTGAATTGAATTTTTATTATAAAAGACGACAAAATTATTTTCGACTAGTTACTATTTCATATCTTGGGAACTGAAAAATTCATTTTTATTACCGATTTTGAAATTTGTGTATTTTTAAAAATAAAAATTGGGCTAGGGAGATGACTCAGGCTCTCAGGCATGCTGCACATGCATGAGAAATGTATTTGCACCCCAGAGCCTATGTAAATGGGCAGTCTAGTGCATGCGCCTATATTCTCCAGGCTGTGGAAGAAGAGACAGGGGTGTCCTTGGAGTTCACTGGCCAAGCAGCCTAGGCAAACCAGAGATGTCCAGGGATACAGCGAGACCTTTTCTTAAAAATAAGGTAGAGAGTGACTGAAGAAGACACTCAATGTTGACCTCTGGCCTCCACAGGCCTATGCATATGTGTGTACCTGGACACACATGCACAAACATGTACAAATGCATGCACTACACACACACACACACACACACACACACACACACACACACACACA